AAAAAAAAAAAAAAAAAACAGTTATAACCCAATGCATGGTTGATCCTAACACTGCTTTTAAGTACTTTGTCCACAAAATAAACTTTTCTTATTTTACTTCCATTCTGCACTTCTTTGTGTGTCACTTACCAATTCCTTCCACAACAATTCTATTTCAGTTATTCCAGAAGTCTTAGCCAGGCACAGTGGCACATGCCTATAATCCCACCAGTGAGGCAGAAGTATTGCAAGTTTGAGACCAGCCTGGACTATATAGAAAGACCCTGTCTCAAAAAAATGAGAACCACAGAGTCATAATTATACACTCTATTTTCAGTGGGTGTACAGAGGGAAGAAAGGCTGCAAAGAACCCACACACACATACTTAAACATGAAACCCTGGGACAAGTCAGAGAATGAAAGTACAATCAGAAGTACTCTGTGACAGCAGTGGGTTAGAGACAGGGGTGGAAATCCAAGGAACTGGTGCTGGTGCCTAGCAACACAGGTTTGGACCTCCTAGAACAGTGGTAGTGAACCTATGGTACACATGCTGCAGTAGACATACAAGTCGCCCCAGCAGCCAAACATTAGATAACAGTGGTTTTTCAGGATTCAGGTTTAATTGCAGTGTTGGCACTTTGCAATAAATAAGTGGGTTTGGGGTGTAGTTTAGGCACTCAGTCTTTAAAAACCTCACCATCACTGTCTTGGATAAGAGGAAGGAGATTGCAGCTTCCCAGAGCACTCACCATTCAGCTTTCCCTGCCTGTGCCTCCAGATCCCAGGGCAGGGCCTGAGCTGGCCTGTCCTGCCTCAGTGTCAGAGATAAGACCCACCAGATACCTTTCAGTCATCAGTCCCTTTCTGACAATGGGAAATGAGGGAGGAAGGCAGACCTTTCCAGGCCAGGACCCAGACAAAAGGACAACAGAGCTGTGAAGGTGTGAGCGAGCATGTTAGAGGGGTCTGGGCATCCCAAAGGGGAAGCAATGGAGATTCCAGCAGAAATCCCCCTCTGCCACAGTCCCAGCCAGTCAGCAGATAGAAGCCTCTGTCTGCACTGAACTGCTGGTGCTTGAGGCTCCTAGAAGTCTGAGGGTGTCTGCTGTGAGAGTGGGAAGAAGGGGATATGTCACTGATTTCCCAGTAATCCCCTCCACTGTCATATCACTTCCCTCAAATTACCCTGCCTAAGCTGAGGGATCCAAAAGTACCAGAGAATAATCAATACTTATCATAATTTTCCCTCCAAAGGTTCCCAGCCATGCCTGAGTAGCTCATTTGTCCTGAGAAGTCAAGAGAGCCCTCTCCAAGAGAGAAACTGCCACCCACACACCATACAGTTCCAGTTCAGCAGAGTATCAAAGACCTCAACTTACAGCCAAGCCTGACCCTTTGTGATTTGTACAGAGACCTGTCACCAGTGGGGCTACACTGCTAGGCAATATTCCTGCAGCCCTTTCTCTACATCCTTGGTCTCTTGCACTGTCTTGCTGCAGGGAGCAGAGCCCCAGGACCGGAGGGCTAAGCCTGCCTCATAGCAGATTTAGGAGTGAGAGGTGGGGGGCCTTATACTTCACTTTAGGAAATTGGCCTCAGGCTCCACATCCTCATTCTGGTACCACTTACTGGGTATTGTGAGCCTGCAGCCCTTCCCCATCTTGTTCTCTTGTCTGGGGGCCAGCCCTTTCCCCAATCTCTAACCCAATTGAAGAATGTCTTCACAGGTTGGGGCCTTTTGCCCTTTGCTGGCAGAGCCTCTCAGGACTAGAGTAGAGGCTTCTAGCCCAGCCTCCATATTTATCCTCCCTTTCAAGGTACAGTCTCTTTTGTAGCCAACCTGTATCTTACCTCACTCCACCCCAAGATGTTAGCCATTCTTGGTCCAGGCTCAGTGACTTCCCTCCTGTACTTGCTGCAACGTCCTGTACTATCCCAAGGCTCTGACATAGGAAGCTCTCTCCCTTCCCTGAGCAATTCCTCCACCTCTGGCATCTGAGATGCAGCCTCCTGTCTTCCACCCTTCCCTTCCCTCCCTGCCACTTTCCTCTCCTTCCCCAGAAGAGAACTTGGTGGGTTGCTGACTGAATTGAGTTAAGAGACCTTTCAGGCCCAGGGATCCTACTGTTAGGGGTTCAAATGAAGACAGCTTTTGCAGGTCTGCATGGCCAAGCCCCAGGGCTGGTGCTGTGAGAGCAGCCCCTCCTGGCTTAAGGTGGAGGTTCCACATTACCTACCGGTCCTTATCTCCCCATCCACCTGCTTTTGCCCCACTTCTCTTCCATCTTGGGGTCTAAGGAACCTATCCACGCTATCCACAACCTGTCTGCCTACACACACATGCACACATCTAGGGAAGACCAGGTAGCTTCAAGATACCTTTTCTGCCCATGTCCAGCTTTGGAAATTCCAAAGTGAATTGGTTCCTGTGAGTATTATGGCAGAAGCATACTTTATCCCTCAGCCTTCCTTGATCCCTCTCCCAGTCAGACATCCAAACTTTACTTTGGGCTCTTCTGGCCCTTAATTGCCTGCTTAGTAATATGCATCCAAGCAGGATTCAGTATTAACTATGGTACATTAATTCCCAGAGTGGCTACCTTCCACTATCTCTAGAAACACAAGTTGGCCTGTGTTAGGAAGGTGGAACTGATGCTGAGTTTCCCAGATTGTGGCAGGAATCTCCTGGGAAAGTGGAGGTGGGCAACCTGGGTGCACTACCTGTAGGCCTTCTGACCTCAAGTCTTGGGCCCAGGGCATTAGCAGGCATTTCCTCCAACCCAGCAGCACCTCACTGTAAAGGGAGGGGAGCCAGAGAAGAGACCCTGGAGCTTCAGGACAGCAAAGGGGCATCTTTGCTGTCCTGCAGCCCTCGGTTAAGCTGGCAGGTGGGGGTTGAATTTTTGAAAACACCCCTGCCCTGCCCACATGTGCCAGGCATCGGTGCTTATTTAGTAACCACTGTGTGTATTTGCTGTGTCCCCTCCTACCCTTCCTGTCCCTACCTCTCCCTACACCCTGGCTGCTCCTCAGACTGTCTCTGGAGGTTATGACCATCCTGTGTCGCTGTGAGAATATTGAGACGTCGGAGGGGGTTCCGCTATTCGTAACAGGGGTTGCACAGGTAATAACTCACCTGCTTCCTCTTCTGTGTCTAACCTTCTCTCTTCCTGCCCTATGGTGCCTGGCAGGCAGGAGCTGAATGGACTCCCTTCCTGAGAGTGTGCCTCCTTACCCTCTTCCCATCTCTGCTGCTCAGGGTGCCAGGGTGGATCCCTGTAGATCCCCAGGGCCCTTGCCCTTCCCCATTGGAGCTATAAGTAGGGAAAGAGCTAGTGATTACAGAAATTCTGGGCAAGTCAGCCAGTGGGTATATTTGGATGCCAAACACTGTTACCATGCAGCCAGAGTTGGTAAAATCTGCTTTTGGCTAGAATGTTAAGCTACTCAGGTACTTTCTCCACAGTGTTCAGTTTCCCTTCTTCATTTCTTCATTCACCAGCTCTCTGCTGAGCCCTTTCTCAGTTTTAGGCACTGAGAATTCAACATCCAACATCCAAATGTAACTACCCCCTCAGAGTCAGTTGCCAGTGTGTCCCTGGGCTGGAAACAGCCTACACAACATCTTCCCCATCCCCCTTACTCAATACTAAGTTGCCCTTCAGCTTTCTCAGGCAAAAATCCAACACCACCCTCTCCTTTTCTCCTCCATCCTATGCTAGTCAAGGACACCATCCCTAGCTCATCAGCCCTTGGAGGCATGAAAAGTTAGGCTTCAGGGCAGAGGCCTAAGAGAGGCCTGGAGTACCTTCTGTGGAATGGATAGGGCCCAGGCCTTTCAATACCCCATATGAGGCAGTTCCAACCTCTCAAAACCCACTAGTATATTGGCAACATCTGTCAATGCCCAGGGTCCATTTAAGCTGAGGGAATGTGGACCCTTCAGGAGTCAGATTATCTGGGCACAACAACTCTTTCTAGGGTTAACACTGCTTGGCCAGGAGGCTCTGATGTGACCTGCCTGGACCCTGGGCTTCAAATCATAGCCTAAGTTGAGGTAGAGGAGCCAGACAGGGCTTCCCTAGCCAGGGGCAGGTACAGAGAATTTCCTTCTTGGCCTAGCAGTGGGCATACTCTCAGCTTGCAGGCCTACCAGGCACAGCTTTGTAGGCAGTCCCGCATAGTCCTGAGTAGACCCAGGAAATGAGAGAGCCCCAGGAACATTCAGATGGCACTCATGAATGGCCTGCACAGCACAGCCTGGAGTTCCAGCACCTACTTGCTGTCCTAGAATATAACTTATACAGCTACACCTAGGTTCTCCCTGTGCACATCAGCCCCAAACCACAACCACATCTTGCCTACTTCCTTTTCCTCACAATTGAAGCCAGGGTGACTGGAGCAGAGGACATCTGTACACATGTGTGGCCCACTTACCCTACTTCCCTGGAGCTGCCTGCACCTTTCCTGCCCTTCTCCCACCTTCTTCTCACACACCACCAGCTACAGCCCCCTGGAGAGTCTTCTGCACCCTCCTAACCAGGATCTTTGGCCTATACCAGCTGGAACAGTGAGGTACTGGACTCATTTCCCATACCCCAGGCCCTGGGCCCCCAGACCTATGCCCCTGTTTTGCATTTCTTGGCAGGATTTCCCTAGAGATTATGACGTTGCAGCCCCGCTGCGAGGACGTAGAGACGGCCGAGGGGGTAGCTTTAACTGTGACGGGTGTCGCCCAGGTATAGTAACTCAGCAGCCCTGCGCATGTCCATTGAGGTGCCTCGTCCCCATGCTGGGGTTTGGGGGGAGGAGGAGAGGATGGCACCCAGGGGCAGTTTCTCTCCAGCGCCCCTGCCATCCCCCCACCAAGAGGGTCATCACCACTGAAACATGCTTGCTTGGCCCCCCTTGGCCCCTCAGCAGGACTAACAGACGCCCCTTCTCTCCTCAGTGGCTCTCAAGGGACGGAACCAGTGCTGAGGGCTCCTATCTCACTAACCCATCCCCATTCTTTGCAGGTGTTGGACATGCCAGCTCCCAGAGTACAGGCCTACCCTATTCCCTGGGCACGGGGTGGGAGGAGTGGCCCAGAGGGGGGCCCTGCCAAGGCAGAGGAGCATTGAGCTCTGAGTCAGGCTGTGTGCTCCCCAGCTGGGAGCCTGGGAGGGGCACCCCTTGCCCTAATCCACCTCTCAACTTTACAGGGCAGCACGGTGCACCTGTGTTACAGACTGCTGGTGAGGGAATTAGCTGAATACCTGGAGAAGCAAAGGCATCATCAGTGGCACCCCTGAGACCTGTCTCCTCCCCCGTCTTGCCTAGTTCATCTGTCTGTGTCCCTCTTGCTCGTTCTCCTTTTCATACTCTCTACCCCTCAGCCTGAGGGTCTCTCTCCTGTGGAGAATTTGCAAGGGAGGAGTTGGCTAGTGAGGAAAAAGTGAGCTGGAGGCACAGAGACAAACCCCAAATGCCTGAGAATGAGGCTGGGTCAGGGCCTGGGGCTGCCAGTGAAGACAAAATTGTCATTGTAAGAATTCTTTGTGCTGGCCTGGCCTAATGGCACACACCGATAAATCCAGCAGGCTAGGAAGTGGAGGCAGGAAGATTGCAGTTGATCCCGGCCTGGGTAACTGCAAATTAGCATACCCTGTATCAAAATAAAAGTAACACAGCCAGGTGTGGTGGCGCACGCCTATAATCCCAGCACTCGGGAGGCTGAGGCAGGAGAATCACTATGAGTTCGAGACCAACCTGAGCTACATAGTGAGCCCCAGGTCAGTCTCAACTACATAGTGAGACCCTGTCTCAAACAAACAAATAAAAGTAACAAAAGAACTAGAGCTGTAGTTCAATGCAAAGTCCCTGGGATCAATCCCTAGTCTTGAAAAAAAAAAAAAAAAATCCTTGTGCCTCCGTCTTCCCATTAGAGGCCACAGATTCTCCAGGCCCTCCTCACAGCCCTTGGGACTCTAGGTCTGACCAAGGAGGGATGGGGCACAGCCACCAGCCTCAGCACCTGTGGGTCTGGGGCTTCCATCTGTGTCCTTTCAGCCCAGCTCAGACACCTCTGTGACCCTGGCAGGTGAAGATCATGACAGAGAAGGAGCTCCTGGCCGTGGCCTGCGAGCAGTTCTTAGGCAAGAACGTGCAGGACATCAAGAATGTCGTCCTGCAGACCCTGGAAGGGCATCTGCGTTCCATCCTTGGTGAGGCCTTCCCTACCCTCACTCGGTCCCCAGGCCAAGGCCAGAGACAGGTCCAGGGTGGGGGACTGGGGCCTGTCCACTGAGGTTTTAAGCTGAAACATTTTCCCTCAAGTATTCCATTCCAAAGCCGGGGGGTGACGTTATAGCTGAGTGGTAGAACACATTATTAGCATGTGAGAGGCCCTGGGTTCACTCCCCAGCAACGAAAAACTTCAGGTGACTTGAATGGAGGAGAAGGCTTTGGGAGGGGGGCAAATGGGGACAGTCTTCTTAGAAACCCGGTGCTGCTTGGGACACGGTTCCTCCAGCCTGGACTCTAGAACGCAGCTCACTGTTAAATACTATTGAGAAGCGCCAGGAAGACCCACCTTAACCTTAGACCACACAGCCCTGCATGTACCCAGACTTGTACTTGCATGCTTCCTCCCTTTCCCAGCTGGCTGGGCTCCTGCAGAGCCAGCCCATGATCCCTCTGCTCCCAGGGACCCTGACAGTGGAGCAGATTTATCAGGACCGGGACCAGTTTGCCAAACTGGTGCGAGAAGTGGCAGCCCCTGATGTTGGCCGCATGGGCATCGAGATCCTCAGTTTCACCATCAAGGTGAGGAAGGCTGAACTCCCAGCGCCTGTGTAGGAGATAGGGGCTTGATGGGAGGGACACCTTTGTGCCTTTGTCCACTCCCTGCAATGAGCACCCTCCACCCCCAGGATGTGTATGACAAAGTGGACTACCTGAGCTCCCTGGGCAAGACACAGACTGCCGTGGTGCAGAGAGATGCTGACATCGGTGTGGCTGAAGCCGAGCGAGATGCAGGCATCCGGGTATGTGAGATTTCCTTTCCACTCTCCGGACAGGAAATTCAGGGGTGAAAGGACCATGGCCTGTCAGGGGAGCCTCAGCATCTGCCCCTTTTTCTCCCAGGAAGCTGAGTGCAAGAAAGAGATGCTGGATGTGAAGTTTATGGCAGACACCAAGATTGCTGACTCCAAGCGGGCCTTTGAGCTACAGAAGTCAGCCTTCAGTGAAGAAGTCAATGTCAAGGTGAGGAGTCAGGGCACTCGGGCTTGGGACTCAGGGTTCAGGGCTTGGTGGCCAGCCTTTAATGTGCTGGCCTTCCTGCCATAGACAGCTGAGGCCCAGTTGGCCTATGAGCTGCAAGGGGCCCGTGAGCAGCAGAAGATACGGCAAGAAGAGATTGAGATTGAGGTTGTGCAGCGCAAGAAGCAGATTGCAGTGGAGGCGCAGGAGATTCTGCGCACAGACAAGGAGCTCATCGCCACGGTGCGCCGCCCTGCCGAGGCTGAGGCCCACCGCATCCAGCAGATCGCAGAGGGTGAAAAGTGAGAGCTGCCGGGTACTAGGGCTGGATTTAGCCAGGCTCCTTGACCTTAGCATATTCTCTTCACTCCTAACCACAGCTCAGAGTCCACTTTTCCCCATGGCTGCCCTTCACTGCGAAAGGCATAAGCCACTTCCCACACGGGATTGTTATTAGGCCAAAGTTCCTGATATTGTGTGTGGCACAGAGCATCTCCCTGTTAGTCCCCTTTCCTACTTACTGCTGAAAGCCTGAGGCTGCAGGCCTTCAAATATCTCCTATCCCTTACAGCCCCCAGAACAGAGGGCTAGAGGGTTGGCTGGCCCCCTGGCAAGGTTTGAGAGGGCACTGGTGCCTCCCACTGATCTTTTGGTCATACTCCCCCAGGGTGAAGCAAGTCCTCTTGGCACAAGCAGAGGCTGAGAAAATACGCAAAATTGGAGAGGCTGAGGCAGCAGTCATCGAGGCAATGGGCAAGGCAGAGGCTGAGCGGATGAAGCTGAAGGCTGAGGCCTACCAAAAATACGGAGATGCAGCTAAGATGGCCTTGGTGCTGGAGGCCCTGCCCCAGGTGAGGTTCTCCCCACCAGGACAGCATCAAAAATTCAAGTCGGCTTGCTTGACTAGTGAGGCAAGTGACAGAACTTCTCTGGGCCACAGACTGGCTGGCTGGAAGGATTAAATATGGAGCGTACTCAGCATGGAGGGTGCAAGAACCTCCCAACAAACCAAGTCCATCCCTGGCCCGTGGGCCTCTTCCCACCACAGCTTGCAAAGTGGGGCTACCCAGGCAGCTTTGGGGTTTGGGTGAGATGGAGAAGTGAGAGGAGATGATAGACAGGGCAGACAGAGGGTGCTAACTATACTGCTCTCATCCCACCTTACAGATTGCTGCCAAAATCGCTGCCCCACTCACCAAAGTTGATGAAATTGTGGTCCTCAGTGGAGACAACAGCAAAGTGACATCAGAAGTGAATCGATTGCTGGCAGAACTGCCTGCCTCCGTGCATGCCCTCACGGGTGTGGACCTCTCAAAGGTGTGTATCTCCCTAACTGCAGTGGGGTAACCTGGGCAGCCCACTGGACTGGCCTAGGCAGATGCATTCAGGGCTTGCTCCACAGCAAGGCCTCATGGCATGTCGCATCTTTGCAGATACCCCTGATCAAGAATGTCACCAGTGCCCAGGTGTGAGGCTCCGCAGGCCTACACCCTTCAGCAGCCGCCTGCCCTTCCCTCCGTCTTAACACCACAACAGGAATGATACTGACTCTGGTGCCTTATTTTGCAGGGACCAGAAGTACTGCCTGTTCAGTCCATCTCTTGCTGTCTTCCCTTCTCTCCTATCTATCTTCCTCTCCTCTGCCTCACACCCTTATTTTCACTGCCATACACGTCTAATTTTATCTCTTCTACCCTCATTTCTGTGTATCTCTTGAAGCCTCTCTTTTTCTTTCCCCCTCACCTCATATCCTTTATGCACATCATACAGTTTAAGATGAAGATGTTTATTATAATCACTGTCTGTAGGAGTGGCCCTGCTGCTCCTCAGAATCCTGGTGCCTTGAAGTTCTCTGTGTATCTGTCTTTCCTCCCTATGGCCCTGGCCAGAGCCCAGCATGGGTGGAGAGGTTCTAGGTAGGATGCCCACCCTACCCTCTCTTGGCTGGGTTTTCCCAGTCCTGAACCCTACTCCAGGAATCCCATACCCACTTACTTGTGCCCCTTTAGGCCTGGGTAGCCAGGGCCTACAAGTCCCAGGGCCATTTTCCCTTCATTTCATCCCTCCCCACACCCAGACCTGCTGTCATCCCCACCTGTCTCTCCCCAACCCAGGGGCACAGAGGCAAGGCCTCCTGTCTGGAGCAGCTCACTCATTTTGCTACTGCCTTAGGAGGCCCTGCTTGTGCTCAGGGAAGTCTCATCCATAGGCATGTCCCTGCTAGGTCATATGGGTCTAGGTCCCAACTCTGCTAAGCCTTTCTGGGGTCAAGGTCTAGCCCTGTTGGGAACAGGAAAATGTGTAGATCCTCTTTCTGCTAGTGCTGTGTTTCCCTGGGTATGAAGCCCTTCCACTGGGCAGCACTGTGCCAACCCTGTACAGAATCGAGTGCCGTTCACAGAGTGGCCAGACCCCATTTCCCTTGTGCCATCCTTCTTCTTGGACCAAGTGATGGGGTTCCAACCATGGGAAGCGGTTCAATCCTCTTTCCTGTGCCAGTGGAATCAGAAGAGGCCAGAGCCAAAGCATCCTGGCAGGGGTACAGAAGGTGTCCCATAGTCCCAGTCCCCCCACTCCAGGCCCTGCTCCAGCCTGTGTAGCTGTTCTGCATGTGGGTGCTGCATGTCTGGTCTGGGGCTTGGATGTTGCACTGCCCCACTGCCTGTCCCCTCCGGTAAAATAAAGTTATCTTATGCTGACCGGCTGTGTTGTGCACTTTGTAGACTGAGAATCAGGAACCAACCAGGGTGCCAGACATGGTGGCGCATGCCTGTGATCCCAGCACTTGGGAGGCTAAGGCAGGAGGATTGCCATGGGTTTTAGGCCAGCCTAAACTACACAGTGAGACCTTACCTCATAAATAAGTAAATAATACCTAGGTGTGTACATACAATGCACCAGGTCCCAACCTGCACAACCCTTCAGCATGAAGGCTGCTCTTTGCCTGTTCTTCCCCACCCTAGCCACTAGGGGGCATCAACACACTGGCCTTGCTCCCAGTAGCAGCCTGGGGCATGGCGACGACCAGCCAGGATGCTGAGGCCAGACCTCAGACATGGCTCCATTGCAGGCAGAAGGTGGAGGGACCTATCACCTCTATGCCAACCCTGAGGCTGACTCATTCATGGAGCCCACCTCTCCGGCTTAAGAGCAGGAAATCTGAAGTCAGGCTACTTGGGCTTAAATTTCAGCTGTTTTTCATTACAATCTTGGGTTAGTAACTTCATCTTCCTGGGCCTCAGTATCCTGATTCATTTTACAAAGTTATCAACTGTCTTTGCTGTATGTGTTAGGTATTGCCTCAGATGCTAAGGAAACTGAAGTGAATAAGACAAATACTTAGCTTTTCAGCTTACATTTAGGTGGACATAAAATTAATTGAATATATAGTATTATTTAAGAAAATAAAACAAAGGAAGTTTGGGAGGGTGCTGAGATTTTACAGTGTCCTAAGAAAGCCTCATTGAGCCAAGCATGGTGGTACATGTCCATGACCTCAGCACTGGGGAGGCTGAGGCAGAAGCATCCCAAGTTTGAACCCAGACTGGACAATTTAGCAAGTTCAAAACCAGGCTAAACTACAGAGGCTCTGTCAAGAGGGAGAAAGAGGGAGAGAAAAGGTAGCAGTGATGAAGGCAAAGAAATGCATGCAGACATGTGAAGAAAGAGCTATCTACCCAGTGTATTGCACAATCAAATAGCAAGATCGGGGTTTGGAAATAAGTGGGTGAGTGGGTAAGAGCATTAGATGAGGTCCGGTGGGAAACCTGTTTTCAAGTCATGTAGAGCCCCCTCCCCTCACGTGCTACTGGAGATTGAACCCAGGGCTAAATTCACTAAATTGCTTGGGCTGTGCTCAAATTTATAAACTCTGCCTCAGCCTCTCAGAGTGCTGGGATTACAGGTATGCACTACCACTCCCAGCTTTGGCTTTTTGTTTTGTTTCATTTGCAGTACTGAGGATTGCACCCAGGGTCTTGTACCTGCTCTTCCACTGAGCTAAGTAAGCAGCCCTTTTTGTTTTTATTTATTTATTTGGTCTTTTGAAATAGGGTTAGCTATGTGTACTTCAGGGTGGCCTTTGAATTTACTATATATTCCAGGCTGGCCTTGAACACAATGGTCCTCTTGCCTAAGCCTGAAGTGCAGAGTTTTAGGCATGCACCATTCTGCCTGGTGCCATTTTTATTTTTGTTTTGAGACAGTCTTGTGAAATTACTCAGGATGGCTTCAAACTTGAAATACTTCTGTATCAGACTCCCAAGTATCCCTAATGGTTTGATTGGAGTTTTCTTTGTTTTGTTTGTGTTCCTGGAGATTGAATCTAAGCCCCTTGCACCTACTGGGCAAGTGTTCTGCACTGAGCTACATTCCCAGTCCCCAAGTGATTTTTTGTTTTGGTTTGGTTTGGATTTTTTGAGATGGGGTATCCCTTTGTAGTGTAGGTTGGCCTTGAACTCAGTATGTAGCTCAGCCTGGCCTCGAACTCTTGGGCAATGCTGCCTCAGCCTCGCTAGTGCTGAGATTACAGGTGTGCCTCATCATGCCCAGCTACCAAGAGGTTTTTAATTGACTAATTCTGAAGTTATAGAATAATACCCAAGGGTCTGGGGATTTAGCTCAGTGGCTGCCTCTCAAGTGCAAGATCCCTAGTACCAAAAAAGAAAAGAAAAAAAATACCAAAGAACCAAAAATAAGCAAGACAAATTTGAACAAACCTGGGCTTTGGGATGTAGCTCAGTGGTAGGGCATGTTCTTAGCATGCACAAGGATCTAGGTTGGAGCCCTACTACCATATTTGAAGGATTTAAACTAGCAGATTAAGTCTTAAGTCTTAGTAGTGAGGCCGAAGAAGGAGGACTGCAAGTTTGAGGCTAGCCTGTGAAACAGCAAGACTGGTTTGAGAGGAGGAATGGGATAAAATAAAATTTAATTTTAAAAAAAGACCAGATGCTATGGTGTACACCTATATTATCAGCACTCAGAAGGCCAAGGCAGGAGGATTGCTGCAAGTTTGATGCCAACCTGGGCTACATAGTTCAAGCCCAGACTAAACTACCTAGCAAGACCCTGTCTCAAAAACAAAAACAAACTGATGAATTAGAAGAGGAGAGGAGATAAAAAGAATTAATATGTGTTAAGTACATGCACCAACTACCCACAAATGTAATCATTATGTATGGTCAATATGTACTAATAAAAATATTTTTAAAGATTGATAAATTAGAGGAAGTGAGGAAGATGGCAGAGTGGTGAACAGCAGAGAAACAGCTCAGAGATTTGGTGTCTAGGCAATGGAATATAGCAATGTAAGGAAGACAGGAAGGAGGGAAGTGGGTCCTGGGACCCAGCAATTATCTAAAGTGAGAATTGAGGCCCAAAGGAAGAGCAAAGAGACTTCAATGAAGAAGAAGGAGGCAGGAAGCAGCACTTTCTCCCAGAGAGTTGACTCACTGTGTGGGAAGGATGGCTGAACCTGCAGACGCACTGTGACTATTGGTAACTCCACAGGCCTCCGCGGAGATACGCACCACTGGAACAGAGTGGTGGGTGCAGCAGACTGCAGCAGCTGGTGAGCATCTCCCAGGAGATGGTGATTGGCCGGTCAAACCTGAGCCTGGAACTCAGCAGCTGGGGGCTGGCTCCATCATGGTGAGGCAGAACCAAGTTCAAATCAGCAGGCGGTCAAGGAGCCAAGTTGAACCTAGCAGGAGGCACAGAGTTACAGGTTGAACAGATAGTGTTCTAGCCTCAGCCAGAAACCAGCCTGAGCTTCAGAACTAAAGGAGCAGGAGCAGGCTTGCTGGGATTATCCACTAACCTGCAGTAAATCTATCACTGGTTTGTTGGGATTAATCAACGTGGATCTGGGCTCTGCCCATCTTGTCTACCCGTGGTGGCAGAGAAACAACTTGAAGTGGACTTTTTTTTTCTTTTTTTCTTTTCTTGTTTTGATTTCTTTTTTTCTTGTTTGTTTTTTGTACCAGGAATCAAACTCAGGTCTCTTGTGCTTGCCAGGCAGGCATGGCACCACTGAGCTATATCACCAGCCCGTTTGTTCTTGTTTTTATATAAGTGTGAACATTGTTTCTCTTTTGTTGTTCTCTTCTGTTCATTTCTTCCTTCTCTCTTTTCCTCCTGTCTTCTTCACCAGTTTCCCAAAATTTGCATAATCTTCCTTTGTTCCTCTGTCTAATCTCTTCCTCTTCTTCTATTTCTCTATTTTCTCCCCAACACCCCCCTTTTTCTTTTTTAGTTTTTTGAGACAGGGTCTCACTATATAGTTTAGACTGCCCTGGAATTCACTGTGTAGCCCGGGCTACATAGTGAGTTCCAGGTCAGTCTGAAGTAGATAGTGAGACCCTGTCTCAAAAAACTAAAAAAAAAAAAAAAAAAAAAAAAAAGAAAAAAAATTAAAAAAATTAAGCATGACAACCCCAAACTTCCAGCTCACCAAAGGCAAACCCAGAGGGCAGTGAGGTGGAACAATTCGAAACTCACCCACCTGGACTTTCGGAAGTGGTAACAGTGGA